TGCCTTGTGCTCGTGCTAGGAGGTTGATTCGGTTTACGTCATCCAAATCAGCTTTCTCATTAAAAGCAGTTCTTTCAAAAAATATTGCAGTATTATTTGTGTATCATTTGCATTGCTATTTGTATATGATTTCTGGTAAAAAGGGAGGAAAATTGAAGGAAAACAGAGGAAGAGGCGCGTGCACTCCCGGAAGTACACGAGTGGCTGAGGGAGGACTTTTTGCGTGTACTCCGGTCAGTACACGCCGCCTCGAAAGTGTTGGATTTTCGCTTTCATTTTATCAGAGAGCTTTTTTCAGCATTGATAGCTCGCACTCAAATTCCTTACAAGGATATCGATCATATAATATGTGGAACTGTGATCCAAGAGTGCAAGACAAGCAATGTTGCAAGAGAAGCTGCTCTTCAGGCTGGAATCCCCGATAAGGTTTCTTATGTCGAATCTTTCGAAGACGATCCTCTTATTTTCTTTGGATGACTGGTTTTGTAACGAGACGTTCTTATTAAATAAACTAATATGGGCCATGTTTCAGAAATCCTTCAAACTTTGGCTAGTAACATTTATAATCGGGTGCTTTTTTAGATTCCTGCTCATACTGTCACATTGGCTTGTATCTCTTCGAATGTAGCGATGACAACCGGCATGGGTATGCTCGCTACTGGAAACGCTAAAGCAATCATCGCTGGGGGTGTGGAGCTGCTCTCTGATGTCCCAATCAGGTACAATAGAAAGGTAAGAGTGTGTTTACATTTGCGTCAGCATTTGTGGTTGAACCAGCGTTTTGATCGAAAAACTGGAGAAAGATAGACTACAGAAATCACATTCCGTTACAAATACTCCTGTTTTTATTGACCAGAGTGAGGTTATAATCAAATATGGGCCTGTACGTTGCAGTGAAATGACGATTACTGTTTTCTAGGCTCGTAAAGCTATGTTAGGGATGCAAAAGGCAAAAACTGCCGGAGACAAGCTTAAGATAGGTGGGTCTTCTCTAAAGAGTGTTAATTTAGTGTTCTTTTAAATGTTTTTCATATTATACCTCTTTGAAGGAGCGGATATTCTGAAGAAACATGTTTGCACCCGAATTACCTGCCGTGGCTGAATTTTCCACTGGTGAAACCATGGGACATAGCGGTGATCGGCTTGCAGCTGCTTTTAATGTTTCACGAAAGTGGGTATCTTTAGTAGTGTAGATCTTTCCTCTTCCGCTGTGTAAACGATAGCCTTCTACTAATTACTTGAAGAGAACAAGACGAATTCGCGCTTCGATCGCACAAATTAGCGAAAGCGGCCGCTGATGCTGGAAAGTTGAAGGATGTTATCCCTGGTGTTTTTGGAGGGAAAGGAAGCCGCAAACCGTCAAGGTTTGTTTAGTTGTGTGGCGTTACTGTTATTTTTTGGTTGTTTCACAGTGGTATTTTATTAGGCTGATAATGGCGTTCGTATATCTACTCCCGAGAAAATGGCAGCTCTTAAACCTGCATTTGTGAAGCCACATGGAACCATCACTGCAGGTCTGTGACACCGTACTTTGAGTTTATCCTTTTGGGCACCATCACTACTCCATAAACTTAAAAACTCTCGCTGAAACTCTGCCTGCAAATATTATTCGGTGACTGATCACGAATGTGACATTAGCACTGGCGCCAAAGCGGCGCCACTATCTTTTCAAAATCTTCTCACCAATCGATGAAAACTTGTATACGGAGGTCATTTGACACTCTGGGCCATTTCGCGCCAAATGGCGCCGATTTGGCGCGACCGCCTTTTTCATCGAAATCGATGAGAACCTGAATAATAGAATTGACTGATATCCTGATCACGAACATAAATGAATTTTTCGATACCAGCGGAACTTGGCGCTCTGATAAGGCAGACTCTGGGAGGAGGAAAGAAATTTGCAGACCCTGGGAGGAGGAAGGATCAAATTTTCGCCAGACGCAGCATTAGCAGAACGCAGATCACTAGGGTGCCATACAGTGGCGCCCGCGACAAGGCTCTCGTGGTTATGATGTCAAATACACCTAAAGACGTTTTCTCGACTTTGGTGAGAAAGGTGATGGTGTCATCAGTGCCAGCGCCAAAATAAGAGTGATATACGCGATCAGAATCAAGTAACCCCGGGAAGCTTTCATCGATTTGGGTAAGATAGGTGGTGGCGTGCACCGGTGCCAAATGGCGCTAGTGCCAGAAATGAATGTCATATCCGTAATAAGGGCACTGAATAACCTCTGTAGGCGGGGTTTCAGCCAGGAATTGTTTGAGTTCTTAGAGAAGTAATGGTGAAATAGTGCCATCTCTTGTGATAAATACGTATTACGCATTGTTCACAGTCTGCGGCTAATGCCGTTTGGACTCCAACAACTTTCGCACCGGGCGGAAAATAAATTGTGGGGGACGTGGTCACGTACCATGCCTTCCATCTCACGCGCAACACTTGAAAATTCGCTCAGTGGTGCCCGGAGATGTTGGGGAAGTTAGGGCTTTATCGTTTACACTCGCCGCTGAATCTACAG